TAATAAAGGGAGAAATGTGGGATCAACATATAAATCAAGTATAAAAATCAAACAAATATTCATATTTGATGTGATTGTTTATAGTTCATAATGCGTGATCAAAACCGAAAGTTTCTGTGATGACTGCCCTTGTATTGTTCACCATGTAAGAATTTATTCACTATGTAAGAATTCGTTCACCATGTAAGAACTTGTTCGTTATGCTTCAGAAGATTGGAGACTGAAGAGAATTAGGCTTGAGATGGATTAATGATTTTTTATTGAGCATTGACCCCCCTATACAGAATTTTATTGTTGTTAACAACCATTTGATCAATAAATATGAGAGATGCCCTCTCAAAAAAAAAAACAAGTAGGAATTAAAATTAAGACTCTTAAGTTATCAATGATAATTCAGCATTTTAGATAGTTTAATTGACTTAAGCATTCATGCAATGTGGGAAACTACAAACTCAAAGTCCCTTTGTGAGTTATTAAGAAATAATATATAGCCCAAGATTTATACAAAAGAATGTAAACCTTGGACATTCTCTTATCTTCAGTGAAATTATCACTAGCTTAGTTTTCCTTTATTCCCTAGATTTCATCCCTCAGTGTCCTTTGAAAGCTCATTATCAACAATGCCATCATCATTATTATTAAATACACTTTTTATACAGCTGAGTGAGAAACCCTGTCCCATCTGGCCCACACATTACTAAGATATATCACTTTCAGTAGAAGATGCCATGTCTAAGTACATGTTCACCTGTCCATTGAGTCAAGTCACTGAGACTTAGGTACCCTGAAGGGGAAAAAGGGACTCAACTTCTGATACCATACCATCCTTCTGTACCCGGTGGCTGTACCTGGAATTGATTGTGCCTTAATCCTACCCTGGAAGCCCAACAGGAACTCTACAGCCAAGTGATGTGGGTTCCAGTCTAGTCCCACCTCTACCTATAGCCATGAAACTACAGTAATTGGGTTTTGCAAGTTTACAGGTATAAAAGCAATATGTAAGAATCAACTGCATCTCTCATAGTCATTCTGTGAGGCCAAACCTCACACTGATATCAAAATCAGGCCAAACCTGACAATGAAGTCACACAACAAACCAAAATCCCTTATAAACACCAATGCAAAAAATCATCAACAAAATACTAGTAAACCAAATTCAGCAGCATATTAAAAGTACTATACATCATGACCAAGTAGAATTTATTCCTGAAATACAAGAATGGTTCAACATATGGAAAAATCAATGTAATACACTACATTAACAGAATGAAGGGATAAAAACTGTTTGATCATCTCAATTGATGCATAAAAAGCATCTGACAAAATTCAACACATTTTCATGATGAAAACACTCAACAAACTAGGAATAGAAGGAAACTACCTCAAAAGCCATATATGAAAACCCCACAGCACTCATCAGACTCAATGATGAAAGACTGAAGGGTTTTTCTCTAGGATCAGGAATAAGGCAAAGATGTCCACATTCACCCCTTCTATTCCACATAGTAGAAGTTCTAGCCAAAGCAACTAAGCAAGAGAATTCATTAAAATAATTATCCAAATTGACAAAGGAGAAAAATTATCTTGGTTTGCAGATTACATGACCTTATGTACAGAAAACCCTAGAGTCCACACAAAAAAAGTTTTAGAATAAATAATTCAGCCAAGTAGCAGGACACAAAGTAAACATGCAAAAACCAACTGTATTTCTATTATACTAACAATGAACAATCGAAAAAGTAAATCAAGAAAAAAGGCCATTTATAAAAGAATCAAAAATAATTAAATAGCTAGGATAAACCAAGAAGGCAAAAGATTTACATGAAAATTACAAAAGGTTAATGGAAATTGGGGAATATACAAATAAATGGAAGGACATCCTATGTTCATAGACTAGAAAACTTAATATTATTAAGATGTCAGTACTATCCAAAACAATCTACAGACTCAATGAAATTCCTATCAAAATCCCAATGACAGGACCGATTCCAGATGGCGGCATGAGAGGTGAGACAGAGAACTCCTCCCGAACCACATATTACATGAAAATATAGTTAATACAACTAATCCTAAAAGAGCAACAGGAAAGAAGGATATACCAAACTGCATATACCTGGAGAACAGAGCAGACCTCATGAAACAGGGTAATGTACCTAAGTCTTGATTCAGAGGAACTCAAGCCCTTCCTACCCCAGCTCACCAGCGGGAGGAAGAGAAATGGAGCAGGGAGGGGTGGAAGCCTAGGACTGCTGAACACCCAGCTCTGGAGATCTGCTTTGGGAGCACAAACCTACATAGCATGGTGGTTTGGAGATTAGTGGGGTTGGAAAACTAAGACAGGCAGAATATTTGGAGAGACTGAGATTCCAGCCCTTTGTGGAGGACAGGGATCCACACTCGGCTGATCTACAACAAAGGAAAGGTGGGTGGTCTGAGAGGCTTCCTAGCAGCGAGAGGGCTGCTGAAGAGGTAGGGTTTGCACAGCTCTTGCTGTGCGGGAGAAGGCATAGGTGGACAAGGTTGGCTAGGTGCATTCTGCCCAGCAGGTTGGGAACTTTCAGGACCTTCAGGCATTCCACCCCCCTGGCTGGCTACTCAGCTCCAAGGCCGTCCACTGTGATATGCAGCCTGCTGTGCCTTCCTCCTGGCCTTTCGGCCCTGGCTCACAAACCGGTAGTCCCAGCCCTGGCATCAGGCCAGCCAGAGGGAGGCCCTGCCTACAGCAGCTACAGATGTAAAGCACAGAGGCTTACACCTGTGTGCTTGGCCCACTGGTGCTGACAGTGGAGACAGACACTGCAGCCAGGAAGCAGGAAACACCTCTTTCCTCCCCCCAGGCAGCGGCACTGCTCCCCTGTGACCCTGAACATCACTCCAGGGGCTGAGCAGCTCCAGAGACTAGAGCTTCTGGGCACTAGAGGGCGCCACATACAACTATGAAATGTCAAAGGAACCTGGTTCAGACCAAATTCTCACAAACCCCAGAAAAAGGCCCAAGTGAGACTGAACTCATCAATCTTCCTGAAAGAGAGTTCAAAATAAAAATCATAAACATGCTTATGGAGGAAAAGAAAAATACTCAAGAACTCAGGGATGAATTTAGGACAGATATTCAATCATTAGATTCCATATCTGAAATGAAACATATAATAGAGGGATTTAAAACCAGATTAGATGTAGTAGAAGAGACAGTAAATGGAATAGAAATTAGAGAACAGTAATACAGAAAAGCTGAGGCACAGAGAGAAAAAAGGATCCTTGAAATGAAAGAATATTGAGAGAACTGTGTGACCAATCCAAACAGAACAATATTCACATTATAGGGCTACCAGAAAAAGAAGAGAGAGAAAAAGGGATAGAAAGTGTCTTTGAGGAGGTAACTGCTGAAAACTTCCCCAATCTGGGGAAGGAAATCGTCTCTCAGGCCATGGAGGTTCACAGATCTCCCAACACAAGGGACCCAAGGAAGACAACACCAAGACATATAATAATTAAAATGGCAAACATCAAGGATAAGGACAGACTTTTAAAAGCAGCCAGAGAGAGAAAAAAGATCACATACAAAGGAAAACCAACCAGGCTATCATCAGAGTTCTCAACAGAAACTTTACAGGCCAGAAGGGAGTGGCATGATATATTTAATGCAATGAAACAGAAGGGCCTCAAACCAAGAATACTCTACCCGGTAAGATTATCATTTAACTTTGAAGGAGGGATTAAACAATTTTCAGATAAGCAAAAGCTGAGAGAATATATCTCCCACAAAACACCTCTACAGTACATTTTGGAGGGACTACTATAGATGGAAGTGTTCCTAAGGCTAAATAGCTGTCACCAGGGGAAGTAAAACCATAGTAAAGAAAGTAGAACAATTAATTACTAAGCAGATGCAAAATCAAATCAACTACCCCCAAAGTCAATCAAGGGATAGATAAAGAGTACAGAATACGACACCTAATAAAGAATGAAGGAGGAAGAAAAAGGAGGGGAAAAAAAGAACCTTTAGGTTGTGTTTTTAACAGCATACTAAGTGTGTTAAGTGAGTTAAATTAGACTATTAGATAGTAAGGGAATTACCCTTGAACCTTTGGTAACCAGGAATCTAA